GTGTGACGTAGTGGGGGTACTTGCTGGGCTGTGGTGACCCCTGCTGTCTGGAGCAAGACCCAGCAGGGAAAACCTCACTATGCAAAGGTAACGCCAAACTTGTTGAACCAGACACCCCCCATGGAGAGGAACAAAGGAAGATGGAATGCTGCCCTGGCTGGGGGGCAGGGCTGGAAGAGTGTTAGTTAGTTGCTGTCTGGGAGCATGGAGGAGACAGCCTAGGGAAAGGGGCTGGAGTTTAGGGGCCCAGTCTCCCCCATCTCAAGGGGGCCTGAGGCATCCTAGCCCAGCTCTGTGACCAGATTACATCTGTGCTGTGCTGTATCCTGGAGAGGCAATAAACTTCCTCTACTCCACCGGCTGGTGTAGTCTGTTTGTGCCATTTCGGGGTGCAGGAGACGGGGGACCCCCAATGCGCCGTCACAGTCACTCACAACCCACTGCCCAGCATAGCAACCAGCAAGGTACCCCCCACTACGTCACACCCCTGCCAGCCTGGAAAGGAGGCGGGTCCGTGGGGATTGGCTCAGCAGCAGGCAAGGAGGAGAATGTTGCAGCCGAAGACACCATCACATGCCTGCTTGTTCTAGCCCCTTTGGGGGGCATTGTCTCCCCCCGGCTTTCGGTGGGGAGGGCAGCAGAGAGCAGGCCGGTCCAGAGTTCCCCCTGCAGCACACTAACGGCCCAGGAACCAGAAGCTGAAATGTGCTGGCCCCTCTTGTGGGGCGCTGAGCGTGGGCCTGGAAGGTGTGCTCAGCCGGGGTCTCGTGAGGCCAGTCAGCACGTAGGATCCTGCATGGAGAGCTTGCATGGCGGTGAAGGAGCCAAAGTGCCGATCTGGAGGGATAATGACTGGGCTGGCTGACACAGGAACGGAATCGACAGGGGGGCTTGGCTCACAGACAGGAACCAGGCAGTTACTCGCTGGGCTGGGTGGGATCAGCCAGCGTCCCGTGGGCCGATGCCTTTCTGGCTCGGGACCGGATGCAGCGGAATCTCATGCTAGTGCTGGGCTGGATGGCTCAGGGGTAACAGTCGCATGTCAACAGGTCCATTCAGCCTGTAGCTTCTCTGCAGTGCAGTACAGCCGGTTCATACAGAAAGCTCCTGAAAAAACGTTGTCAGGGCTGCACAGGGTAGGCAGTTGCTTGTGCACCCTGAGTTCACCCGTTTGCATATGCTGCTTTGTCAGGGGGTGGGTCCCTGGATTGTAGCTTCAGTTCCAACCATGGCTCAGGAGTGCTTTCTAGCTGGCCTCCAGGGGTTGGCCTGTGGGAAAAGCTGGTTCCTCTTGCAGTGCTTGTTCACATCGATTCCAGTCAGGCGCGTGCCGTATGCCCCAACGTCAGAGACTTTCCCTTAAGCAGCCCCCGTCGGGTGTGTCTTTGTGGCACTCGCTATACGACCCTGCCGGTCCAACCCCCTTTCGGTTCCTTCTTACCGCCCGGCAGCGTTGGACCAGCGCTCGCTTGTTTGCAAGTGCCCCCTTAGCCATCTCCGTCAGATAATAGCATCTGTTAGTTATTAGTGGCTTGTTAGGGGCTGGTGGGGCTCCTTCTGGCCACGGTTCTCGGCACTGTTCCCAGTCTCCGGTGCCAGGCACCATTCACCGGCGCAGGCCATGCCGCAAGCCCAGGTGGTTACGTGTCGACTAGCGAGCCCCCCGCTGGTCCCACCCCCATCTCGCTATTGGTGCAGTACCCAGGGAAACTGAGGCACCCACGGGATTATTACAGGACAGTAGAAATCACATGCACGTATCAAAGTGCAGAGAGCGCATACGGCCCCCCCTTGTCACACAGCCCCCCCTTCGTCACACAGGGATCCCGGAGCCTTTGGCCGGGCAATGCAGGCGACCGGCAGGAACGTTTCCCAGGTCCGGCGGTCAGGCATTTGGGACCCTGCTCTGGGTCTCTGCAGGGAGAGGCTGTTCCGAGAGCTGAGCCTCGCGCCCAGCGCTGCCCTTTGCCACCGGGATGTATTTAATGCCAGTCTGGCTCAGCGCTCCGTGTAATCGGCCCCCAGGGAGGAGCAGGGAGCAAGGGTGACCAGCCGGAGTGGAGCGGCCGTTGCTAGCGTCTCAGCCGGCCCGTCGCTAAGCCCCAGTGCCGGCCCAGGCAGACTGACACGGGCTCTGAAATCCGGCCTTGCGCTTGCCCAGCACCGCTTCTCAGCAGGGCCTTGCGGGACGGGGGGAGGGGCGGGGGCGCACATATATCCCCCCCTGTCCCCATCCGGCCGGGGGGGGGCTGCGCCACG